AAAAAACAACAACAACCCCAACAACTTCCTGTTAAGCTTGTTAAGCGTGGAACTACTCCTGTCTCATCAAATGCTGTAACAGATGACAAACTCCCCAATCAACACGATAATCAATGTAGTAATCAGTGGTGAAAATCCATCTGCTTTAATTAACATACAATTAAATTAGCATAGACGTTGTCTACCACTGGAAACGCTGTAATTAGAATATTGATGGTGATAATAATGATGACAGCGATAATCATGGGAGTTTCAGTCAAATAGCTGTGTAAGTTAGACTATTTCATAGCCAATTTTGGCAAAATTCCCCGTTAATCACAGTTGACAATGACTGGCACCTCGTTGGGATGTTAATTGCATCTGTAAAAATGTGTCTTGTCTTTATGTTGTCTTTTTTTTTTGGTAAACGATTTGGTTGTTCCATTACCTATTCAATAAAAAAAACTCCCCTAAATTACTACGCGAAGTATCAATTTCCAACTGTGTTAAACACCTCTTGAGAAGAGCCAAAGAAACCTCGTAATTTCTTTTTTTTAAAGTGCTCTTTGCATAAAAGATTGTGCTTTCTTCGTTTTACCAAACGATTATCACAAAATGGCCTCTACGGAACCCCTTCAAGATTCTGGCACGTGTGCAGCGAACTGCACATTGACGCAACCTCCTAGCGCTCCTTCAACCTTTATGGAGTACAGCACCTACTTGATGATACAACGAGTCATTGAATTGAACAATCTGAGCATAGCTGTGTTTGGAACTCTCACTAATCTCTGCAATCTGGAGATATTTAGGCGCATAGGCATATCTGAGAGCCCTACGTCTATTACTCTGTTTGCATTGACTCTCTCCGATCTATGGACTCTACTTTTGTACATAATGTTAGTGGTATCAAGTTTTCTACTGAACCGGAAGACAGGTCAGAGCCTTACTGGATCGCAATGGTCCACACGGTGTACGGCTACAACATGACTTTTAAAATATCTACCTTCTTCACCGTTTATCTCACTGTTATGAAATGCTGTTGCGTTGCACTGCCGTTGAAATTCAAGTTTACATTCGATCAGAAAAAAGTGATTGTAATCGTGTTTGTGCTCACAGTAGCGTGCACTGCCCTCAACTCACCATTGTTTTTGACGGTGGGATTTCGGGAGGTTTTTTACCCGCACCTGAACGAGACTTTGTTAGAAATAGGATCAAAATTGGAAGTACCGATATTGACTGTTATGAACCCCTTGCTTTTTGCAGCAGAGCCCACTATCTGTCTGAGCACTGTTATCGTAGGACTGGTCATTATAACAGTCAAACTGAAGCAAACGTCTAGATTTAGGTCAGCCTCTGGTAGTAAATGCGACGACTTGAAATCAAGTGACACTTCTAGACTCTCCGGCAAAGAGCTTAGAGCTGTTCAGTCAGTGATGGTTGTGGCAGGCATGTATGCTGTGTGCAATATACCCAGTGTTTGTACCATATACGCTAGCTACATCGAAACTGACGCGGAGAGATTCAATTACGTTAGCGGCATTTTGGCTTTTCTGAGAATCACTCTGATCCTTCTTTGCTCGTCTCTCAATATTTTTGTATACCTGACTTACAACTCTAGCTATAGACAAGAAGCAGCCACTCTGTGTGCCAGCTTGTTCTGTGTTTCCTTGGGGAAAAATGCTGGAAAGAAAAAGTAATCAATTTGAAGCTCGGTGTAGAGGTATTCGCACTCGCAAGATTCTTGTGAATTTAATCTCATAGGTGTATTGTAGATTGTGCAAAAACACATTAGACCTACCCATGCGAAGAACAGAATTTTAAAAGAATCCGAAAAAAACCTGCATTAGAATCCATCCAGGAAAAAAAATAACAAAGAGAGAGTTTTCTTCTCTTGGAAAAAAACCAGTCCCTGGCAGTCTTCTGCGTACTTTTTCAATGTTCTGTGTGCCATACTGTTTCCCTTTTCCTCTGTCGTGAGCTGGGACCTGGGTCTCGCAGAAATGCATCCTTTATCCACTCGGTGTTGTTGGCTGTCCAACTGGTCGTCCTTTCCATATCGTTTCCTTCTCCACTCCATAGTTTCTTGTAGAACAATCCCAGCTTCCTTTTCTTCACCGTTGTGTCGTGTTGTGGTACATGAAGGAAATGCCCAAGATGTTACACAGTGGCATTGCTGCCTTTCTGGGGCTTGTGTTAATCTCGGCAAATCTGCTGTGAGGGCTTATTATATTTCACAGGCAAACGGAAAAATAGAAATAGATTTTGACCTTCATTGTGGTCTTCAGTTTGCTTAGTGGTGTCATTGTCTGAGCTCTTGGGAAAGGATTACTCCGGGCGTCGAATACTACACTGTGTCGAATTTGTGGTCGTGTTTCGCAGATATGGGCGTTAAACCTGTACCATTTAATTAACAATATTTCATTGATTCGCATTCCTTGTATCATTAGTGTGCCATTTTCCCACGCTTATTCCCATTCTAAGTTGGTTGAAATTTTGTTCCATTGGTTGAACAAGTTTGCTGCCACTTTCCCACTTTTTCTTTTTTTTTCTCCACTGTCCAACATACATGCAATAATAATGTCTTCTAGATCTGTGGTGTTCCTTCCTCCTACTCTAGTAGGTAGATGATTGGCGGGGGCTCTGATCTGGTTGATTCCTTCGTTTTTATCAAACGTCTAATTTTCTTTTTTGCTCCTCTCCTTTTCTTAGTGTATTAATAACACCTTCAATCTTTGGCACTCGTGTGGCTTGTTTGTGTTGCAAGTGCCGTAAAACTTTTTACTAAAACTAAAATTTAAAAAGTAGGCTCTACTGCTTTTCTTTCCCTCTATTGTTTCGGTCTGTTTGTCTCTTTTTTCCCCGCTAACTTGCCATTATTTTGTCAATGTACTTTTGTTCAATTAAGCCAGAGATCATCAATCTACGGCCGGCTGGCTAGATGTGGGGATTTTTTTTTTTTGGTCGCTGGCAGGTTTCGATCCCAGGTTAACTAAAAGGCGAACACCGTACCTCCAGACCATAAGAGCTCCATACAGTTAAAATGAAAAGTACTTTTATAGATCTCATAACTTCTGGCTATCGTATCACACTCTTGTTCTGTTTTAGCATGATGCATCTTACATTTAGCACATTTGCTACGCATACGCGTTTGACATCAGTTTTAGGAATAACTTATGTCCGTGAGCAAACATCAGATAAATATTTAAAAAGAATTTTCTTGGTAGGAAACTACAATCACACAGAAAATATTGAAAATATCTTGAAAGCGTAACTCTCGTTTCACAATTATTTTTTGTTAATTGTCATTATTTTCTTGTGTTACTTGGTTTGAGCAATCCAGATAATTATCTGCGCACTAGATCTAGTTATGATTTAAGTACAAAGAGGGTACATGTATCTCTTTACAGCATTTCATACATTCTGGTAAATACATGTTATGTAATATGATATAGATTGTAAAACGCTTAGAGCTTACTGTTTATTGTGAATTTGTGCCATGCAAATGCTATGTATTATTATTATCATTCATTATTAGGCCTATTATGTTTGTTGTCTTCATTTTTTGTTCAAATGTTGTTTTGTTTTGTTTTTTGTTATTGTTGTTTTTTAAATTTTGTTTATTGATACATCAACCATTGGATTGACTTTATTTTTTTGTATGCAGTGTATCGTAATAATCGTATTGAACAAAATAGTTATCCCGCCTGCGCTCGGCATTCTCTCAGATATTCGATCCGCTTGGGAAAAAATGGTGAGCCTTGATTTACAGCACAACGAACATTTTTCCTTCTTTGTGGTTATTCGAAATGTGACATTTCTGTTAACTGCCAAGCCTGTGTGGCTTTGCGGCCTAGCAAAACCCTCTATAGAAAATGTGCGAAGTATAGAGAGGTAATATCCACAAGCTGTTTAGGAGGTTCATACACATGTAGTTCTAATAAAGGAGGAACAAAAACTTTGCTTACTATTCATTTTTCCATCAATGTTTGATGAAACTGATTTGAAAAGGACATAGCCATGGAAATTGTCGGAATCCAGTGGTGTATAATATTATACATTATGGATTTTTTTCCGGTCAAGAACACTTGCCGATGCCCTTCTTCAAATGAACATTCTTATTCTTCCCAGCTCCTCTCCCATTCTCCATGAATTAGTCCCGAAAATATCCCTGATCCCACGGGAAGAGCAAGACGCCGGGCGTTACTCAGATTACTGCTTTTCACCGAGCAATTTGCGAGCTGACCACTGTGACGTAGCTGGACAATCATGACCAACACGCGTCCAAGTTCTGGTTTCAAATCCGAGTGGACTCACAACTGTTTTGCTCCTACTTTATTGAACACTGTTGCTCTCAGCCAAATGTCTCGACACGGGCCTTAGCACTAGGCCTTCAAAATAACCAAGATTGTGTTGAACAGAGCGTTAAATGTCACCATTAGATTATTAGCTATCGATGACCTCGGGTTCCGAAATATGGGTAGAAAGTAAAGGAAAGAGAGGAGTGGGGGGGGGGGGAGTAACCGTGACCTTAAAATAACAGTTTTCCGAAAGTGGGTTTACATAGCAGGGATTCAAAATCTAATAGAAATCTTGGGGTGCTGCCAAGTTCTTCATAAAATTTATCGTTGTAAATTTCTCTGGTGATGATTTCAACACGTATGCATCAAATTCAGAGTGGCAACACGTAATTTGTCAGTCTACACTTACAATCGTTTACCACAATTACTCCTAAAGGGTCAGCGCGCTAACTGGTAACCTCGACATACTGAACCTATAGTGAAAGTGAGCCCGCATCAATAGTGTGTGCCCTCTCTGAGTCTGTTTGAGATAATTCGTAACTCTTGTCCCACAAGTGATACTTTGTGAATAGAGGCCTCAGTTCTCTGTGTATAAGGTGTGTGTTAACCAGTCAGTCACACAACAAATTCAAGTTCGACAAGTGGTAGTGCCGACCAGGCGTCGGAAAACGCCAAAGTAGGACGTCTGCCCTTTTTCTATCCTTGACCTTTCCTCAGTCATTCACCCCTCTGGTTCCCTAATGGTCCGAACAGGACATCCGTGCCCGCTGGCATGCCTTGTGAGTACGTTGTGCCTTTCTTGGCTTGGGCCCAGGGCGTGTCCTCGTTACAGCCCTCTCTTGTCATCGGTGTTACACCAAATCCGCCTAACTAACAAAGAGATTGATCACAAGAAACGTTTCAGCACTTTCCAGTCTATCAGTCCACGACCTTGGGGAAAATAATCATTTTTACGGAGCCGTCTGGGTGACTAGTCTAGATTCTATAGGTTGCAGACAATTCACGACAAAGATTTGGGACTTTTTTTATGGGCATGTACTCAGTATTTATGAGACTTCCGCACACTAGCCCGTTTCCCTTTTCAAAAGTTTGACTCGATGTGGTCCAATTCTAAAAAGATCCAAAATAAGAAAATTGTTAATATCTCTTGAGTTACAAGGGTAGCGTGCAACTCCAACATGTTATTATCTCTAACCCAGACTTGGTTGCTCCTTTGAAGCACAGAGGTGGTAAAAACGCAGAAGGAGCATTGAGGCGAAACTCTAATGAAATATCACATTAGCTGTCCGTACGACACACGTATCTGTGAACTCAAAGAAGAAGGTAGCTAGTAATGCTTCTTTCTGACGTTGAAAAGTGCTAACTATGTTATATTTTATAGAGTGTAAATTTTAGTACCCTGGAGATACGCAGTGTCCATGGAGCCAGAATATTGTCCGTGCTTCCTTTGCATGGAAGAGAGAAGACATTTTCAACAAAAGCATCGTGCGCATTCTCTCATGAGATTTCCTTAACATTCCTCGATTTCCAATATGTGGACTGTAACCACCCCCAAAGGCTCATTGCTCCTCTTATCCTTTTTTCTAACTTTTCCAACGTCGATGTCCCGAGGGAGGGTGATCAATGAACGTAGTTTACACAAGAAGGTCAAGCAACGCGGAGTGGGGACAGCTTTTAGAGAAGCGACCTTTCCGGTGCGCTTCTGCTCAAAACATGTAACATGGTTCATTAGAGCAATGCACGTTATTGACTAGCAATATATTTTATCGTTGGTTTTTTTGTGTGTTTTTGTGGCAATGCCACACGCAATTCTGGGCTCAAGAGATCAAATCGGAGGCGAGAGAAATTGGCCCTGGGGCAATGCAAAAAAAGACGGAACGTGGAAGAGATTACTGGTTGCTCGAGTTGACCAACGAGCTAAGGATAGAGTTGAAGTTGTGTTCAACATACACAAGGGATAGTGTTGTTATTATAACAGTAATCAGCATCTCACTGAAACAACAAACTGTGAATGCTATTACCATAATATTAATTTAAATCAATCATCCAGTTTTGTTTTGTTTTTGTATTTTTGAGTTGTTCGCTTATTTTATTTTGTCATGTTTTGTTTTGTTTTGTTTTGTTTGGTTTTATTATTTTTTTCTCACCTCTTTGGTCCCCAAGAAGTGCACAGCACATGGCAGCAGGGCGGTGCCCCCTTCCCGAGCCGTCACATTCAGCAGTCGAGGAAGGAACACAGGCTCCGGGTAAGGCGGTCCCTGGGGTGCTGTGGGGGAGAGAGAAAAACGATACAATGATTATAAACAATGTGAAAGGTGGCATTCAGAGAATGGGCTGGTTTCTTCTGGTTTGGCACGTTTCTGCATTGCTTTTGCTCTGTGTCTGCCCCCCCCCC